CACTTAGCCTCCTGTTCTGTTTACCAGAGCCATAGCAAACAAAGTGGCTGGATCTGCTGCATCGGAATCCTTCAAAGATTTGGAACCGTTCCGCAAGACCAAGAAGCGAGCCCGAAGGAATCAGTTGGTTTACACAAACTCTTTAAACAGAAATTGGATATTGGAACAAGAGAAACAACCTTGAAAGGAGTACAAAATCCTTATCACTTTTCACTTAGTGTTCACGTGAGTTAACTCATCATGACGATCTATGTATCACATTTAAAAATTCTCGTTGTTTCCCTCTGTTTTTCATGCGAAAATATTACAATAAACTGGCGTGTCTGAAAGCAATTGTTAGCAGTATCCTGCATACTGGATCCAGCAGACCTGTCATATGGCCACACATATTCATCGGTGGGCGGTTACTCACGCAATTTAGAAGCAACAAATGAACATATTTTTTGTACTAAAACTATTTTCCGTTTCCTTTTGTCATGAAAAGAGCTATTTATTCGTATTCTAGCAAAGCAGCTGTCTTGACCAACTGTTATAGCTCAGGTTGCTTCATCTGCAGCAAAATATGTCTCACTAACTTCTAGGTCCGGGATTTTGTAGTTTTTAGAATTTGAAAGAGTCGAAGTAGCAGAAAGTCAAAGGTTATCTCTTCATTATCTCCAACTCTCTCTAACGACCAGTTCGAACAACTATCTGGCAACTCGATATCTGAAGTACCCAACAGTACCACAGTCTCAGACAAACTAACCAACACTTAGCCTCCTGTTCTGTTTATCAGAGCCATAGCAAACAAAGTGGCTGGATCTGCTGCATCGGAATCCTTCAAAGATTTGGAACCGTTCCGCAAGACCAAGAAGCGAGCCCGAAGGAATCAGTTGGTTTACACAAACTCTTTAAACAGAAATTGGATATTGGATACTGAAGAAAGGGCATGTAGATCCACTGTGTAGTTGCTACTTGGGCAACTCAGCACTCGATGTAACCTTTAAGATGACACTAGGAGTACTTCAGTCGTATTTTGAAATTTTTAGGAACTACTAGTTCACTTCTTATTTATCAAGTGATATGATTCAATCTTTCAGGTATATTATTACGCTTACTTAAATGTGCCTGATGGGCCTGACATTCGGCTTTGTCTAAAAGTTTAAGATAGTATGACGAAATGTACAAGAATCTGTCTTGTCAAAGAAAATTCTCCTAGGTCGTTATTTCCTCATTTTTATTCAACCTCTTCCGTGTTATGACCCACGAGTCATATGTGTTGATTCACAGGACTTAAGGCAAGCAATGCCAATGTCGGACAGGGGGCTGAATTTGCTATACTCGCAAGATTTCCCAAAGATGACAAAGAGATGCTACTCTAACTTGGAAATTATCCTGAGTTTTCACGGGCAGACGGTGCAAAAGGCAATGCCTATTCCTTTTCAGTTCATCAAATCCATCAATAGTATTCAGTTACACATTTGTTCCTTCTTAAAGATATCTTAAATATGTCGTTCCAGTTTCACGTGGTTCACGCATGCACTGCCACACCCATAAAGGATAATTCTTAGACATGATGGCTAAAGATCCTTGTTTTTGTACAAGTTGAACAAACATACCGTTAGCCAATGGACTTGCAGGCTGCGTTATGTATGAGTTGTTAGAGTTCTCACTCTATACCTTGCAAAATTTCTGGAGTGGTTTGTTACTGGCAAGATAGGAAAGGCAATTTCGTTCCAAATGGCTTATTGTAAAGGCACAAGATGTGAACTGTCTCTGTACGCCCATATGCTGCTTATAAACAACTCACAGTATCGTGTGATTAGACTTGCTGATGGCAAGTAATAATTTTGATACAATTGTGCGTTGTTATTAAGCGTACACCGCTCAACTATTCTTCAAAGATACAATTTTTCATAAACTTGCAAGCGATAGGATATATTTCGTACGAAGAAGACTAAAATTCAGAATGTCAGAAACATAGCTATGGGTCATACTACTGTGGTGAGTTAGAAATAAGGGTTAATTTTAATCGAGAACTTCAAGCTTTTCATAAAGAAGTAGCTATGAGCTGGATGATGACGGTCATAACACTCACTGCATCCACACGTACTAATATTGTTTTCATCACTGTAAAGAAATACATCTAAAGATTCCAATTTCATTACTAACAACCAGCAACCCGAATGAAGAATATTCTCTCGAATAAATTCTCATCAGGTTCTATAATGGTTAAATGCATTTGCACATATAGACAGTTTTTTGAAGTCGTGAATCTATAAAAATTGTTTGAAGCCTACTACGTTATTGTAGTGCTTGACTTATAGTTGCCTAACGATTTGGCTACTGTCGTATATTCACTGTAAAAAGGTTTATGTGCAAAGGATGTTGGTATGTTGCGTTCAGGGTCTATCTTCTACATGGCAACGGTCATGCTTTTTCACGATTGAGTTTCGCTTAGTTGTTGACTAGAATTGATTTTCTGACTGAGGTTGCGTTTGACTTCAGGGACAGTTAACCATTGACAATATGTGTGGTTGGGATTTCATTTATCGGTAAGTCACTTTTTGAGACTGTACATCCTTACAGATAACACTCTACTGTTGATCAATGGATTGAAATTGTACCAGTCTTCTGGCTAAAGGAACATAAAGAAGCTTTTAATGCAAAACCAACTCAGTATTGAGTAGTAGTTATGGTATGATACCACCAAGAGAAAACAACCTCATTTGATTGCATGGAGAATAGTGGTTGGATGTCACTTAGGTGGAAACAACTTGCCATCATTCCTCAGAATTCAAATTAGTGTCACGCTACTGTGTATTTCAAAAGGCAACAAATAAAGATAATGTTACCAAGTACTAGAGTAGGGCAGGCTACTGATTTGTAATACAGTGCAGAAAAGTGGTACCGAGATTCATCAAGACCTATAGTAATAAAAGATGTGTTTTGAAATTCATTACATTTCCTATTTTTGAAACAATTTCTGAGCTTTCGATGTTAAACCACAGACTACTAGGCAGTTTTTGAGTCCTTTTTGATATAATATGATGTGGTCAGTTATAGAAGGTGGGAATATAAAAGACATGTTAGAAAGGTGAAACATTAATATAATATATCTGAAACAGATTAGTTTATAATTCCGAGTTGAAACCACAAAGCCGCTTGATTTATTTAGGTGTGAGAAACGGATTACTAAACTGAAACCTGTAACCCCTTCATGAATCGAATATTCCAAGCGGTCTGTGTAAGAAATCATACATTTAAATCAAAGTTTTAAGAGGCTTTTATAAAAAATAGACAGCAAAATATCTATGATAGCTGCCGCACTCCAATCTTCTCTGATTTTCAGGTCATGGTCTAAAATGCCATTCAGATACTGATGTCTGAAGACGGCAGGTAGAAAAGTCTCATCTACTGACTAATATTGACTTTAATGTTTGACTAGTATTGCAAGTTTCTAACTAGTTCGCTTGGTCCACACAAGTAGATGTTATCCCTACGCACGGTAACAAAGTAAGCAAAGAAGGGAGCTTACATATATGTCTTGAATATTCACCAAAAGAACCGTCTTTTTTAGCCATTGCTTTTATCTTTTCTGTAGGGAAACCCTTTAGTCTGTTGCTTAATTTTGGATTCCAAGTCAGACGGATTATTTATGTGTTCCGACTGCAGCACCAAGGTTTTGGCATCGAAAGTTATCAGGTAGATAGTCCTGTTGTTCTTAGGTGAGAGGAACATTCTTTTCTACATGTCACGAGTTATCTTTTTCGTCACTCATTACCATAATACACCACTATGTCGATAGGAGTGGAAGAGGTCTCAGGATAGGCAGATCAGTAGTGAACTTCGCTAAGTGAGTTTGAGCCATCAGCAAACAAAACAAAATTAAATTTTCATGTATTTGAAAAGATGCTCGTTTATAGGTTTCAGTAATAGGTATTACTGTACTGTTTGGCATACAGTTTACTGTATTATTCGGATTTTCTTATCTATCTGTTACATGAAGTATACTTACTGTTGAGCTCATAGTATACTTAATTAGAGGCTGAAATATGACTTTCTTACACAGACAATCTCACTGTAACTTGGAGTTTTGAAATAAATGTTTGCAAGTGGAGACTTCACGGGATTTTGAGTATAGAATAATGGACCATCAATTCACGTCCGTGAATCTTTTATTTGGATGATATTTTTTGGTCTTGAGGCTTCAACGCCATCAAGATATAAAATAACAGGAGAAAAGCAGTCCTTTACATTTGATACTTAATAGCTTGTACATATACAGTGTCATCTAGTGGCATGCAACTAAGTAGTGCTTTATTTTATCAGATCCTTAACATCGTATATAGGGTTAGTCGAAATATCATTTATTCATGTCTGGAGTTTAATAAATATCAGCCATTACATCTATGGCATGTTAAAACAAGTTATTCATGCAAAGTTTTCAACTTATCAAAGCAGTAGTACAATTATCATCTTTCAGCATACTTATTAATAGCATTGCTATCAATTTTTTAAAGACGTCTTAGTAGTTCAAATTGACGATGACTTTAAAACCGTTACCGTGTTAGGGTTTGTGTTCGAATCGGTTTTCAAATACTTGTTTGAGCAGTTCTCATGCTTTCAGTTTTGAATGTACTTCTTAAAGTGCGAGTGACAGTCAGAACTATCTTAGAATCATGAATAGTACTCTTATTACCAGTTTCTGTCAAAAATGCAAGAACTAACAAAAATCTACTCCGTCGTCTGTTAGGAAAAAGTCCGGTTGTTTTAGATAGTGGGATACATGAATTTGTCCATTGGAGTGATGAATAAGTTTGAGGAATCATTGAGAAAAACCGATGATAAAAAGATCGAGAGTAGATTTTTGAACGATCTATTATACAATTTGAAGCATGAATAATTTAAATTTTCTTTAAAATCTTTTCTGTCTTTAGATTATGTCCAACTGATCATACACAAAGGTTTCTCACACTGATGAAACTAAAGCTCTTCTAATACAAACTGTGGCGGACCTGATGAAAATGAATGAAAAAACTATTAATCCTCTGGAAAAGATTAAGCACATATCCCAGATTCAAATTAGAAAGATATGCATTCCAATATTATTAGGACAAATACTGGCTGTGCTTATTAGTTTAACAGCAATATGCAATGGTATACTTTCTCAGTATAAGATAAACTTACCACTAGCTATTAATTTCCCGCATTACTTTTTGTTAGCTGTGTCCTATGGAATTCCCTATCTTTATTGTAAAGCATACAAAAAATGTTCCAACAACGCAACAACCAGTGATACATTCGGTCACAATGGTGGCGAAAACGTTGATGATGCTTATAGCGCTGTCACTAACACGGGAGATATGGAAACTGTTGTAATTCCCAATCCTAGAAGACATGTATTTAAAGTGTTGTTAAACCGTCTTAGCCTCTACTCAATTATTGGTATTATTGATGTTCATGCCAACTGGTCAATTGTGTCTGCATATGCGTACACTACTGTGACTAGTATTCAGCTCTTAGACTGTATAACAATACGACGGTTGTATTTCTAAGCTACTTCTTCTTGTATTATCGTTATACATGGAATCATTATCTTGCGATTATTTTATGCTTGGTCGGTGCCACTGGTATGGTACTTACGGATTATTTTATACCTTCAACTAGTTTCACTGTTGTTAATGTGACAGGAATGCATGATAACTTACTGAACAATACAGTAACAAACCAGTTATTTACTCCACAAGAAATGGTTTTTGGGGATTTTTTAGTCATTATCGGGGGCGTTGCTTATGCTGCATCAAATGTTCTACAACAATATTTGATTTTAAAATATGGTATTACTGAATTTCTTTGTTGTGTTGGTTTAGTAGCATCTGTTACAACATTGGTTTACACTATTATTTTTGAGCAACAAGCTGTCAGTATAGTATTCCTAAGTGTCGGCAAGGCAAATTTAGGTGAAGTTATTGGTTGTTTCGTTGGCTATGCACTGTCAATGTTTCTACTTTATTCACTGATGCCTTTTGTGCTAGCACGCTCATCTGCTGTTCTAGTTAACTTATCTCTACTCACAGCAGATATTTATGCTGTGCTAATGGGCGTTTACATATTCCATTACGGTTTCCATTATTTATACATCCTATGTTTCTTGGCTATTTTGTTTGGTGTGTGTTTGTTCAATGTACGTTTACCAGTTATTGTCGATATTAATAAAAGGCAGACATCAAGTTTCTGTCAGTCGATTCTACGTAGGCGACGAAGGCTGGAGTCTAATAAACAACATTTCGACCGTCAACAGATTGGATAAATGATCACTTTTAGAAAGTAACTGTTTTCAATTTTAATTTCCTGATTTGTATTTATTCTATCGAATGACTTTTAACTGTGTTTATGAATGCATATACACGAGTGATTGCAGAGAAACTTTGACTGTAGTTGAGTCATCATATATGTTTAGCTATTTATGATATGCTAAAATCTGAGAAGGATAGATTTAAAAACAAAAGTTTTTACTTATATATCTTGTTCTAATTTACGTGATGGAAACTTTCAACATTCTTAAGTCATTATCTACAATTCACTTCACTTGAATATTACATTTAACTATGATGTACGTATATTATTATATAATTATTTTTACAGTTTCGCGCTTCATGATTGCATTTTGGCCTTGTATGAATGCTACAAAAGACAAATGTTTGCTATATGATTGATAAATACCCGTTAGATTTCTTTACTTTTATTGCTCTTTTTGAAATAGGCAACAACAAAATGGAAAAACTTCAGTATTTGACTGAAATTATGTGGAAGTTGTTTATGGAAGTGAACTCTATAAACAGATATAGCAGTTTGTATGAATTTTGTCAGGTTACAATTGTCTGTATTTAAGATGGTCAGAAAGCTTTGAATTGTCGTACTGAATCCAATAACATCCAAGAATCTCCCTGGGAGGACAGTAAAGTGATAAACAGTTGAACTGGATAGATAAAAGACAATGAATATAGGTTTTAGGTTTGTTAGCATTCATAAAAAGACCTTAAGGACGACGAACTTCACGTATTTTAGGATTTCGGCACAAAATAATCAAAATGTTAGTTGAAAACCTTAATAAAGAGTGAGAGATATGACATCCCTTTTAGAACTGACTAACTGGATGGTAATCAATTTCATATTTTAGTGAATAGTTTACTAAATGTGAAAAATCCAAGGTTGCTTATCTCTATGAGGTACATGAGATGTCTATGCACACATATCGATTCACTTGATATTCTTGGAAACTTTGAGAAATGTCAGAATAAGGTTTGCGGAGTGAATTGAATTCATTTTATCCTATAACTGCTCACTCCCTATAGTTATAACAATTATTAAGTTAAGACATTAATGATGTACTTCAAGTGTTCATTTTGAAAGCAGCATTTAAAGTGGACATGATATTCACGATTTACAAAAAATACACTGAAAGAAATGACGATAAAATGGTCAAGACCAATTATTATTTGTTTGTGATGAAAAACTTTTAGAATTGAAGAAATACAGAAATGTATCAAAGGTTGTTACTACAAACATATTGTGTAATCAAGTAAGGTAGTTTGAAAGCTTAAGAATTAATTTTATCCAGTAAGTTAAAATCAGTAGACAAGTAGAAGTTAGGTACAAGGAAAACAAGATACGGTCAATGGAGTAATAGGAATTCAACTATACTTTTTTCGGCCACTCATATGTGTAACTTGGGTTTTGCTCCTACAAAATACAACACTCATGGTATCCCATTTAAGTTTTCATGATCATTAATTTATAGAATTCAACTTCACCTTTGTATCCGCTAAGTGCTTGACACTTGTGCATGGGAAGAGTTCTGGCTCAGGTAGTTGAATACAACTGAACACTGAAAGATTAGCAGTATAACTACGTATATCCGTATAGCATAATTTATATGATGTAGGTCAGGTTGTCGATGGGTTACTTGGTAAGACAATCCGTAGATAATCTAAGGTATTACGTTTATTGGTAACAGTTTCTGTTAGGGCGCCATGTTAGTTTTTATTACAACTAAAGGTGTACATGAAAATAATCTAACAAACACTGTTGTTTCTAGTAATTTATGAAGGACTGATATGGTACCAGTAAGGTAGTAGTTCGCCATATCCATCGTGAGTTTGTTCGCTTGTCATGATGTCGCTGAACGAGCAATAGTACTCATTAGTGGCTTACTTTGAGATAAGAATCCCGAAGTTCCAATGAGAAGTGACCTGTGTGGCCAACCAAGTTGGATATGAAGGCAGTTAATCAACGACAGCATTGGATGGAGGTCGCACTATATCGTAAACTGACAGAAGTAGGAAACATGGACCATTAAATTCCGACCCAGAGGCTCAATGATTACGTGGTGGACACGGAACCTGAATGACCTGGGTTCGATCCCTGCCGGGGTCATGGGTGCGCACTACTGAGGAGTCCCACATTAGGACGAAACATCTGTCTGGTGCTCCCAGTTCTCCAGTGTTTCACCAACTGATGTCAGTTCATGATGAATATCATTCTCAAATCGATACGCGTTATCTTGAACCGGTATCGTTAAAAGTAGCTGGAATATGTATTACACGTGCCTAGGAGACAACTACATTTCATATTGTCATGAAGTATTAAAGTAAAACGGAAAGTACCTTGGGGTCATCAAACTAAGACAGTATAACACTGTGAATCCTCTGTTTTGGGCGATTAATGGAACTATGGGCTTCCCTATTTCGCCTGCTCAACGACCAGAAATTCTGTTATTATATATTTTATGAGATGGATCAGTATTTGTAGCAGTAGCACAAACACATTCATACTACATCTTCATCTGAATCTAAAGCATCTAGCTAATACAAGTATTTTCTTTTCCTTACTGTCTTACCTTTACTTCTTTTTGAGCACTAATGGTTTCATTATCTGTCTGTCTTCCATTTTTGAAATTTTTTCTGCGTTACCGGTGCGTAATGCGAAAATCACACCTGTTACTTATAACTTCATAGCAGGTTAGTTCTGTTTGTGCACCCCTACGTCATCAACGTTTGCATCAACCTTATTCATCCCTTCCAAGGATGTTAGATTTTGCAGTTCAGAAAGACGAATTAAAATTTTGTTCTGTTGGTTTTCAAATTGGGAGACATTAAACTTCACCAGAGGTTTAAGCAATGCGCAACCTAGGAATTCAACCCCTTATGTTTTGTGTACCTAAATCATACATTTTCACCACAAATTAAATTAATCGATCAATACATCTACTTCAGTATGTAACTCACCTACAAATATTGGTGTTGCTTATCCTTCAGTATGTCAAGGAAAAGTCAGAGTTCTTATTGTGGAGTCTGTTTATTCAGTTGCTAGAAGCCTCATTACGTTTACAGGATAAATTTCGTAATAAGCGAAGCTAACACCATAGGAGTGGAAAAAAAAAATCTGAAGATTGCATCGTTTTGTACACAACCTGCTAGGCAGTAACTATGGTGCAGGTACAATAAGAAAGACAGTGTGTTCCACTAGACGGTTATCTGTAACTATAACTTTGTGAATTCCTCATCTGATTCTTTACCACTCAGATGTCCTAGTGAGTTAGTTAGAATGAACCCTCTCATCGCTTAGGAATGTTTTTATATGACCACAAATTCATAGACTTTGGTGAAAAATTCCATTGAGTCCCCTGTGTGGTGCAGGTGTTTTCACAAAGGTGAGCAGCTGAAAGCGAATATCCGGTACTTATCATCAAATTCGTTGATAAGAAGGATCTGCCTTCATTCAGTGCATCTAAACACTATCTTGGTCTCATAATCTTTGATGATGCAAGACCTTAACGAAACCTTTCAAAAACTTGCTCAACTCATTCCGTATCAGTACCTTAAAAGATGGACAGAATTACTGATATTTTATCCAGTTGCTTTTGCTGTAGTTCTGTTTAAACTTAGTTACTGAAACCTTTTATATATTTTAAGCTTTATTTTTGGTTGGTTGCTCATCATATATTTGAAATTGTGACCTGTATGGTTTGTTTTGAGTAGCTAAACAGTTGCTTCTACAATAGGGGGACATCCAATTAATCCATTCAGGAACCACACATACCTTTTCATCTGTCTGCCTTCAGATGTACAAGATTAACTAAGACTTTGGGAAGCATTTGACGCCTTTGAAGTGAAGACAGGAGTAAGACAAAGCTGCCTACTATCACCCATGATCTTCCTGAATGTGGTGGACTAGATCATGCAGCAAACCGTGAGGAGCGAGAAGATGGGCATACACTGGCTGGCGTCCGACGTGTGGTTGACATGGAGGGGATGATGTGAGGAAGAAATGGAAGCTTGTGGGCAGTCGTGGAGCGAGGTTGAAAAGACTGCAGAGAACAGAGTGCAATGGAGGTGTGCTACTGAGGCCCTATGTTCCACTATGAACCCAAGGGAAAAATGAATAATAATAAGTTGGAAAGCATCGCTACTGATGTATTTTATATTTCAGAGACCTGCGTAAGAGAGTTCAGTGAAATGCTTCGAAAACTCTTACCTGTCAATTCGAAAAATGTGTTCATTTTGTGATTATCTAGGGACACTTTGTTATCTTCTTTCTACATTGGTGATGTTGATATTGCATTGATTATAGGAGCTAAAGCTGTATTGGTCAACTGAAACGCATTAAAGTTGTGCTGTTAGACTAAGATGCTCGACTAGAGTACGAAGAAACTGGTCAGGAAAACGATTTGTCTTCACCGCCTCTGCCTATGTTGTGACTGACTCCAAGTTCAATGCAACCAAAGACCAGTTCTGCTGCCGTTTGAGTTATTTTCTCAACCAGGTGCACTTGATAGATATTGAAGGGCTATCTGGGGGTATCACGTACACAGGTAGGAGGTCTAGGCTCAGGGCAAAGTTGTTCATTCGATTACTGGTTGGATAATGCGGACGGTCTTCTGAAGCTTTGTGCAGATCACAACCAACTTCTGAGGCAGCTATCACGGCTGCTCTAATGAGCTTCTTTCATCCGCTGCTAAAAGTTGAACTAGAATAGATCACTTTGCAATTAAATACTGATGGAGCACCTATTTACATTCCAATCGCGCCTCGGTGTATGCTAAGTTCACCTTGCATTTGGATATTAATCAAAACTGTCTTCATAAAAATGACGTAGGTAAATTGGTTACACCAACTACTGTAACTAAATAACAAGTCAAGCTGCATTTAGGACAAGCTGTCAAACATTCAAAAGAATAGATTAGCTTTAGTTGCAATTATAAGACTCTGTACAAGTGGCAAGTAAAGCTGCTTGTGGCTTAGAAGCAAA